GGACCTGCGCTGCTTTTTTACGGTGCCTGGTACACACTCATTCAGATGGGGTTTTCGCAACCAGTTATGTTCTCTCTAAAGTTACCAAAGTCAGTCATGAGTGCAGTTAAAGTTAGAATCCAACTATCACTAGCGATTCAAATGCATGCATGTGTAAATAAAGATATTCCTCGCATTGTGATAAAATAGAAGAATAAATACACTTCATGTGTTCAAGGGATCACAGGAGCATTAAGCCATGCTACCACCCTGTCAGAATCATCAATTTACTCCCAGAACAGTTATTCATATATATAGAAATATAAAATGTGTTCTGCAGTTGAAGCAAAGTTTAGATATACACATAATACTTTCAAGAACTATATATATAATAATTTCAAGAGATACATATTGTGTGTATATATATACACACTATATTATATAAAGTATAGATATACACTCTATATAATATACATTTCTTGAAATAAAAAAACCCACAGGGCAGAAGTAGACAGGTAGAAAGATTCTTTGATTAGTCCAAGCTAAAGAGGAACAAGTCAGGACATAAAGAGCGGCTTCGGTGGGGTTAAATCTGCTTATCCAACTCTGCAGAAAGCACCAGATCACCAAGTAAGGGCTCCTGAATATTTGAAGCCAAACAAATCACTCAGCTAAACGTTTTCAAAAGCCTCCTGCAGGTTATCTGTCATCCAGATGAGTAACATCGCCTTGGATTTGACATTTCTGCACCAGCTCTGTTGTTTTGGCAGCTTTTCTTATATTAGTGCCAGAGGACACTTCATAAATCCAGAATATGTTGTCTAAAACAACATGTAGTGTGATGGTGGCTCATCTAAAGCCCCGTGGTTTTAGTGTAATCATGTCAAGGCTCCTCGTCATCACCGCAAGCTCCGTTCTCACAACCCTCCTGTAAATAAGGCGAGCGTCCCCGAGCTCATTACCAGCTCACGTCCATGGGATCGGTTGCAGGGAAACTACTTTTCTCCCTTTCATGCAAACATCAAAGAGTACTTTGTTGTTTCCTTGGAAGCGCCAGCAGTTACGACAACCTGAAAGCCGCAATTAATGAATGACTATTGTCCTTAAAACATTCAACACACAGGACATATGGAATAGTGGCAATTCCTTCACTTTGCAGAGCAAGCGGCTTGGGATTGGATCCACGACCATTTTTACACTGGCTGAGCTCATGCCATCAGTGCCACATTACTTCCAGCCCTGGTATTTTATATATTTTATATATTTTATA